CGGCTTTAATACTTTTGTTAACGCGCACCCAGTTGATGTAAGATTGAAATCCCGTGAAAAAGATCGACTAATCAGGTACGTAGATGGTGACGGAGAAGATTTAGTCTTCTTCTAGCGACCGCAGCCGACTTAGCTTTCGAAGAAAAGTTTCCAGTAGACAGCTTACATCATTGCCATATTTTGCCATCAAGGCCCCTTCTCCGATCAGCTCAGTTTAGTTCAATTTAGTTGACAGAAAGTAGGTGTGCACCTTTGAAATCTCTGTTTGTTACACGTAGAAGTGATGCGCGCCGGGGTTCAAACATAAATAAATTGTGTAAACAAACTTTACTTAATGGTTGACAGGAGATCCGAAGCATCTTACTTGCCGTTAGTGATGCCCGTCATAGACCGTTGTTTATAAAAACCAGCAGAATGCGTTATTCGATTGGGCAAGAGTCACAGTTGCCATGCCCCCAATGTGCCCGATCGAAAGCCTCCCCTCCCTGGCAGCTGATATCGCATTGTCGAGGTCGCGTGAGATCGGTGTTCGCTGACCTATCCTGATTTCTGGACGGGCTACGAGAGATAACGTTTTATAGATGTTTTGGCAGAGTTTGTATAATTCATATTGACCCAACTGTGAAAAACTCGGTGCCTCGGTGGGATTCGAACCCACGCAGTAAGGCGAAGGCTTTAGTACAGCCAACGCTCTAACCACTTGAGCTACGAGGCCCCGCCGGACGACGCGAGTTTTAATCCCATTTGGGTCAAGTTACCCGCCCAGCCTACTGCAACGTCTGGAATCAACTAAATCTGATACAGTAAGTTGACTGCCCAAGCAGAATTTCCTAAGTTATTCACCTAGAATCCACCGGATGACTACCGGACTCACGCAATTCATAGATGTTTTGACAGGGCCTCGTAGCTCAGTTGGTTAGGACGTTATCTTTACTAAAGCCTTCCCCTTACTGTGTGGGTTCGAATCCCACCGAGGCGCCGAGTTTTTCATAGTTCGGTCAATATGAATAACGTTTTATTTTAAAAATTCGCAGGCCCATGGGCCTTGAAGAGGACAAACGAGCGATAATTGAGAAGTGTCGTCGACACAGACCACATACACACTGGCCTGGATTATTTCCTACAATCAGCCCTGATGCAAGCAAAGTCTTAGACCAGAGTCGACTGTTCATCAAGTATTTTTTAAAACTTAGGCCCCCACGACCCAAACTGACCGTAATTTTAACCATTTAAACGTCTCTAAGGGCGGACTGTAGGAAGTAGAGCACTCGTGAGACGTTTCCAGCTACACATCACGCGATCTAGTTCCCTCAGAACAAGGTCAGTGGAAGAAGCAACTGAGTGGTTTCAAAGTAAGGGTATAAATGACAAGCATCCTACTCATGCTTCCTGGGGAGAATATGACGGCAACCCAGCATATAATGTCTGGCTACCAACTGAGATCTTACCCCAGTTAGTATTTACAAGAGAAAAAAGGCTATACATTTTCTTTACCGTTCTGCCTATGACTTGTGAATGCAAGTTCGAAAGCCAAAACGCGTTTGCCAATGTTCACGTTGTCCTTCCTACATGACTGCCTTTCCGCTCGACTTTCGTGAAAGTGTGGAATGTTATCTGACACATCAACATTGTCTGTATAAAGGATTTAACGCCTTAGAGTCAAAACCAATGCTGGTGGCATCTATTACCCGATGGCTATGATGATAGCCGAGCCGCTGCCGCACGAGGTGGAAGCAGAAGCGACTTGCACGCAGATTTATGTACGGTGGAGTAGGCCTGTGACACATCTACCTCGACAACAGTTCGACCGTCGTGACCAATGATATCAGTCGTGCGCTCCACAGAAGAGTGTAGGAACGGTGGCTTGCGAGTGATAGTAGGCTTGCTCAGCGTTTACTGCACTCTCTCCTTCTCCGCTGTGTGGGCCCGGTGTCAAGACAGAGTCAAGAAGACCGGAGGCGGGAGAAGGCACGGGTGGCTGACACGGCAAGAACGTACAGTAGGTGGGCTAACTCATGAAATGTCGACCGAAATTTCGAAATACATTTTCGCTTCGAAAAGATTAATTAAGTGGGGTTGTAAAACTAATCATCATGCAGCATAATTCTATAATGATCCAGTTACCTCAGGGTGCCGGCTTTCGAATGAACTTATTTCCGACTGCATGCAAGGACTACACTCTGCAAAAAGTGACTACTTAAGTAGCATGCAGTTTTCCCATTGATGTTCGATGCCCTTAAAAATTCAATTATTTTTCATGAAAAAATGCATAAAAATATTCATTCTTCAATTTATTCGGCAGAAAATTACGTGTTCTTGAAATTTTTTACTCGAAGGGGAGTATAATTCGGTTTTCAAAAAGTTTCTAATTGTGAGATTTTTTAATACCGTGAAATGGCCGTTCATAAAACGTCATGCATCTGCATTTACCACTGTGGGTTGTAAAGTTAACAATACTCCTCAAATCCACGGCTTAATTTTATGAACTCCGCATTGTCTCCTCTTAATACCTTAGATAAATGTATGATTTTCCGTACAAGAAAAATAAACGGCTTGTAGTTTTGAAAGCCTCAATGCACGTATAAAAGCAGGTCGGGTTCATAATTATTCGCGAATCAGAAAAGTTTTTTTAAAACCGAATTATACTGTTCCTTCGAGTATAAAATTGGAAGAAGACGTAATTTTCTACCGAATAAGTAAAAGAATGGATATTTTTATGCATGTTTTCCATGAAAAATAATTGAATTTTTAAGGGCATCGAACATCAATGGGAAAACTGCATGCTACTTAAGTAGTCACTTTTTGCAGAGTGTAGTTCTTGCATGCAAACGGAAATAAGTTCATTCGAAAGCCGGCACCCTGAGGTAACTGGATCATTATAGAATTATGCTGCATGATCATTAGTTTTACAACCCCACTTAATCTTTTCGAAACGAGAACGCATTTCGAAATTTCGGCCGACATTTCATGAGTTAGTCCACCTACTGTACACTTCGGCGAACCACCACACTCCCTGGTCCACAACATACACTGACCAGAATTTTAAACAGCAACCAAGATGAGGACGAGAGGGATCGCAGTTGGCGCAGTGTGCGTCGGCACCTGGGGGTGCCGCCACTCCCCCAGTGTTTGAATCCGTTATGCGTGCACACTTCCGATAACGCCTGACGTACCCGGATATTTACGCTGCGTTGGTCCAACGCATCTACCGCGGTACCCCTTTAAGGGGGAGCAAATATGCATCTACCCAACTCGCTCTCTCCTCGCAAGCCCACTGTGTTTAACTGGAAAAGCAAAGCTCAGACGGAAGACGAAGATGTGATCACTAAAACAAGCAATTTGTTGGCCTGACGATTCGGATTCTCACTCGAATCCATAATCAGAGACAGTCACAGATAAGGGTTCAGAAGACGAAGACGTGATCACTGGAGCAAGAAATTTATCGGCCTTAGCTACGACTGCCCTGATTATGGATTCAAGTGAGACTCCGAAACGTCAGGCCAAGAAATTTTGTGTTCCAGTGACCACATCTTCGTCTTCTGAACTCCTACATGGAACTCGCCTATTCGCAAAGTCAAGACGCCCGGAGGTGGGCGCGGGCACAGTACTGGAGCGCAGAGCATCAACCGCGGGGCCCGTTTTAGGGGGTAAATATACATCTACCCAACTCTCCCTCTCTTCGCACGCCCACCGTGCTTAGCTGGCAAAACAAAGTCAAGACGCCCGGAGGTTGGCGCGGGAACAGTGGCGGACAAAGCAAAAGAACCCGCCTACGCATGTCACACATGGTCTGTTTCACACATCATGCGCCAGGCAGGTGTGTCGGGTCTCACACAGGTGAGAATGCCATAAAGACCACATTAGGCGGGAGCTGTTGCCCTGACAGCTACAAGCAATTTCTTCATCTCACTACAGTCAGTCCTTCTGCGCGTCCTTTCGTCACTGGAAAGAATGTGACTTTATGCGTGCGAGTCTTGTAGTTAGAAGAGGTCGTAGACTGACCGTTCGCCTCGGAGATCGGGCGTCTGATTTTTTTGCTATTTCCTGTAGATGCGGGCGACTGAGGTCTCCCAATGAGGCGGATATGAGAACATCTCGCAGTTACCTCTATCGGGTCTCAACGATGCCACATTACTACATGCATTCCAGGTTGAGATTGACACTGCCGCTGAAATTCTGTTAGTGTCCAGTCGGTGTTTGCTTACCTTGAGGATGCCTGCGCAGTTACAATTTGAGCGCTACTCTGGAGACTTCAGGACAACAGTCCATCCCGCAGTCATCACCAAAAATCTCCCTAGTCAAGAGCACGTCACGGTGGTTTCACCTCTCAACCAGGACGTAACTAAACCGTAGCTGCCAGTGACACGAGCGAGGACGCATTCGCGTCACTCTCTTCCACACGGAAAGACGAAAGAAGGTGCTGGTCTGGAGAAGGCTGTGTTCCGTGCAGAAATAGAAGACCATTGCTACTTCTGCTGCCAATCCCGCGGCGATCTGGCATTTCCTCCCAGGTAGCGTGTTCTGTATCAACGCGGACGTCAATGTCATCAAAGAAAACAACTCTTCCCGCATATGGAAGGCGTGCGGGCCTGTGGCAGTTCGCGTCTCCTCGCCCTCCGCCTTTGTCACGCTGCCGTCCTGTCCGCCTCACACTTCTTGTCGATACGCTGCTGGGACGCGCGAGTGCTCGAAGCCAATCAACGCTGTCCCCATTCTGATTGGCTGGCGACGTGGAGACAACGAAGGGCGCACACACGCGCTGAGAACACCCCGAAGGCGGACAGAGACAACAGCTTGCTTGGAGCGCGCTCGCGGCGACTGCCTACAGAACCCTTGTGTACGCACTTTCTCAGGCAGTAAAGGTTGTTCAACTCAAACCGTCTTCCCTGACTTTTGATTGGGAATCTTTAACTTGTCGACTACATAAAATTCGACAATTGGTGACCCCTTTGCGAACAGCAGTCTTTCTTCCTAATCTTCTGTAAAGCCAGGCGTTGATCATGGACAAATTTCAACCGATAATGCAGCATATTTTGGCACCCGCTTCCGGCATTCTTTCGGCAACGCAACTTACTCAGATGGCTGATCGTCTTATGGAGATGCACAGCATTTCCAAACCGTCACTTTCCGCACGCTCGACTCCCTCAACTCATCCTACGTCTCCCCTTTCGCAGTTAGAGATCGAGCTCAGCAGGCTGGCCGATGATATAGCTTCACTCCAGAAGCAGACAGTCTTCCCCTCATTTCGGAGCCAACCGAAGCCGTCCACCCCGCATCTCCAGTCTTCACATTCAGCCCGCCAAAACGCAGCTGCCATCTGCTGGTACCACACCAACTTTGGTGTTAAAGCACGTCGCTGCATCTCTCCCTGCTCCTTCACCTCCAAGCGGAGCAAACGGGTGAAACCGGTCAACCAGAAGGTCAATGCAGCCAATCTTCTCGACAGCTCTAACTCTGGTCGCACCTTCTATGTTTGCGACACTGCGACTCGCAGACGTTTCCTGGTGGACTCTGGAGCCTAAATCAGCGTTGTTCCCCCAACTGCAGCTGATCGTCGTTTCCCTAGCCCTGGTCTTCACCTTCAAGCTGCCAACTGTTCCCCCATTCCCACTTTTGGCAGTCTGTCCCTCACCCTGAACATTGGCCTTCGTCGGTCATTCACCTGGATCTTTGTGATTGCTGATGTCCCTCATGCAATCTTCGGCTCGGACTTTCTTGCCGAGTTCGATCTCCTTGTTGACTGTCGACGTGCCTGTCTCCTCGAACGCACAACCGGTCTGTTTGTTCGTGGAATAACTCCCTTTACTGCCCCCCCCCCCCCAAGTTATCTGTCTTGGATATGGGTATTGCTAGTCCTTTTCGGCAGTTGCTGCTTAGTCACCCCAACATAATTAACCCCCAATTTCGCAGTGGTGAAGTTCAACATGATGCTGTGCACCATATCCGCACCTCAGGTCCTCCCGTGTTTGCTCGACTGAGACGACTAGCACTGGAGCGTTTTCAGGCCGCGAAAGCGGAGTTTGAACACATGCTGCAACTGGGAATAATTCGACCGTCCGAGAGCCCTTGGGCGTCCCACTGCACATGGTGCCCAAGGCAACATCAGGCGACTGGCGACCCTGTGGCGACTATCGAGCCTTCAACAGCGCTACCATTCCTGATCGGTACCCCGTGCCTCATCTTCAGGACTTTGCTGGAGTCCTTTTCGGCAAAGCGGTTTTCTCGAAGATTGATCTGATGCGTACTTTTCATCAGGTTCCAGTCGCCCTGAGGACATCAATAAAACCGCCGTCACCACACCTTTCGGTCTCTTTGAGTTCGTCCGCATGCCCTTCGGTCTACGTAATGCCGCCCAAACGTTCCAGAGGTTCATCGACCATGTCTTACGTGGCCTACCCTTTGTGTACGCCTACATTGATGACCTCTTGGTGGCCAGCCGGAATGAAGAAGAACACGAAGAGCATCTTGCCTTGGTGTTTGGCCGTCTTGACAAGTTTGGCGTTGTCATCAACCCCTCCAAGTGCGTGTTGGGTGTGCCTTCACTCGAGTTCCTCGGCCATCAGGTCGACTCTGAGGGTTTGCGTCCCCTCCCCTCCAAGGTTGAAACAGTTCGTAATTTTCCTCCTCCAACTTCCAAGCGTCAGTTACAGCGATTCCTCGGCATGGTCAATTTTTACCGTCGGTTCCTACCGAACTGTGCTGACCTCATGCTGCCGCTCACCAACATGCTTTCTGGTCCCAAAGGTCCCCTCGAGCTGACTGGTGAAGCACTGACTGCTTTTGAGAGAATCAAGAATTCCCTTACCGATGCCACCTTATTCACACACCCCGCTCCTGAAGCTCAGCTGTCTCTGATGGTAGATGCTTCGATCGTAGCCGTAGGTGCAGTCCTTCAACAACACCTTGCTGGTTCGACTCAACCACTTGCCTTCTTCTCCAAAAATCTCTTACCAGTTGAGACACGCTACTTACCTTTGGCCGTGAACTACTTGCCATTTACCTGGCTGTGAAGCATTTCCGGCATTTCCTTGAAGGTCGTGACTTCACCGTTTTCACTGACCACAAACCGTTGACTTTTGCACTTCGTTCCCACTCCGACAAGTACAATCCGAGGGATATCGCCCACCTGGACTACATCTCTCAATTCACCACCGAAATCCGCCACATTGATGGCACGAAGAATGAGGTGGCTGATTTGCTGTCCAGACCCTCACTGTCTTCCCTCCAACTCACACACGGGATCGATCTTTTCGGATTCCTGCTCGAATCCGTCATCAGATACAAACGTAGATGCGGGTCTCTGATGATGGATTCGAGCAGGAATCCGAAACTTCAGGCTAATAAAGCTCTTGTCCCAGCGATCGTGTCTCCTTCTTCAAAACTACTTCCTGGGACTCGTCTCTTCGCTTCTATTGCCAGGTGTGGGTTTTCGTCGTTCCAGCCACCTGTGCTCTCTTCCACCTTCGGTCTTTTTTACCCCGTTTTCACGTTGGTCCAAGGTGACTGGAGTAGGAGGGAGTGCGGTAGATGCAGAGCAAGCCTACTATCAGTGTAAACTATAGTTTGCGACCTAACTCATGCAATGGGTCGCAATTTACGAATGATTGCCAAGTACTCGCAAACCGACACAATTTCATGAGTCCAATGTCTATGTTACTTACGTACACGTTTAAAAGAATTAAAAATATAAAAGAAATATTAAAGGCAATGTTGCGTTGTTTAGAAATGCCGATTTTTTTTTAGAAAGTCGCAATATCCCGAAAACGCCAAAAATGTCTGCAATTTAGTTAACTTCGTTTTTACATGTATAGAATGATTTCTAATACCAAAAACGGAGTAAATATGAAAACACAAATAAAATAACGCTTAATAATAGTGTTTCAGTGAAGTTTACTTGTCAGTAATTAGCATGATTTCACATGTGACGGTTTGCCAACTGCCTACGTGCTTAGTGCAGATTCCGAAATAGTTTTCCAGTGTTTCGTGGTATGCTTGAATCGTTGGAGCTAAATGAGATGGAATTCAACAAGAGAAACTGAATTTTGCTTGATTTTACCGATGGGGACGTCGTAGGAACAAACGTTTTTAGAAGGTGACATGCTTTCAGGCCGATCGGTGCCTAATGAATTTTGATAGAACTGACAGGCGTAATCGTAAGCATACCATTTTGTGTTTATAGAGAGAAATTTTCTTTCTTTTAGTTAATTTACACTTTTCGTTCATTTTGAAATATGTTGAGTTTCAGATCGACCTCGAAATGTCGCTGAGTACTTCATGATTTTCAGTGTTTTCACCCGATCACCCGTAAAGACAGATTCTGAATTACCTGTCTGTTGAGAACTTTAAAATAAGATAATCCTTGAAGGAATTTACCTGGTTAATGAGTGTTCGGGCGCTCCCTTTCTCACGCGCACGTCACCCTTCCTGCTCTCACCCTTCCGTGGACGGGCGAAATTGCATAGTGCGGGAGGATACACTCGGACAAACAGATAGACGTACCCGGTGTGTTTGTTCGGCTACAGCGTGGGTCCCCGCCCACGACATGCCGTACATCCAAACCGTGCCCCTAGAGGGCTATGGGACCAAAACGCAGGTTTTGATGTGAGGCATAAAATAATTCTCCACACCGTTAACAACGCTGCCGTGCTCTGTCCCGCATGGCCATGCTTCTAAACCAAAAAACTCATTTATTACTGTTGACATTGAAGTTGCAAATCTTTTCTTTCAGCCATCAGCGCCTACCAGAGCGGTCTTTCTGTCGTAACGGAAACGGAAACAATGAGGACACAGGAGCGCCCAAGAGCACGGCACCTAGCGGCCAGAAGGTGTTTGTTACTCTGTATGCTTTTCGGGTAGAATGGAATTAACATTTCCGCTCTAGTTGTCCAAGGGGAGGGGCCTGACAGTCCAGTCACTCCAGATGGAGCATTTCAGACCTAGCCGTTCTACTTTTTAACCACATAGTAGTCTGTTCAAATATATAAAAATACCAACGCACGCCAAATTAGTCCCTATATGAATGGACGCAGTTTTTCTACAGAAGCTTCCTGCCTTGATTTGATAAGTTGCGGAAAACAAATCTGCCAATCAGTGAATTTATTGTTCACTTTGTGCAGTCTTGCGGGCGCTTTCCTGCGGTGTTAAAGGAAGTAGACGTTCATGCATCGGGAAACATGACGAGAAAGGGACAAGTTGGGTCGCTGACGTTTCGAAAACATCCTCACGGAAACCCACAGGAGTTTTAAAACTCTGGCTGACTGTGTCTGTCTCCCTGGTCATTTAACTCCAATTATACAGCCGGTGTGGAGGTCAATGTGTGAGCAGAGATGAAGTTTGGGAAATCCAGTAGTTCGTAGCCACCAACTTCATGGGAAATTTCAAAGTGCTTTTTGCTACCTACTTTTTCACTCGTGTCACGAAGCAACAGAAACATCATGCAAGTGAAACGCTTTAAAAGCGTTCACCGGGAGGGGTTTATTGGAGGTCCGACGTTTCGAGTAGGTGAGTCGTCTACCCATCTTTAGAGATTGGAAAGTCCTGCGCACAGTACATAATCTCTTGTCAAAACAACTTACTGTGACCCAAACAAAAGTTCCACAACGTGGATCTTGTTTTAACACAACGGACGCCGACCCAGTCATCTTCATTGTTTCTTTCGAATCGGTGCTTCGTCAAACCGGCGCCACAGACGAGGCAAAAGACCTCCTCCGACATCAAATCTCTTCACTTCTCATGTCACACCGCAAAACCCATTCGCTGCTAAGAGATGAACAAAAGGCCCTAAGGGAGCTGAAAGCGGACACCGAACTGGCTATTCTGCCTGCCGACAAAGGCCGGTCAACCGTTACCCTTGACATGGTAGACTGCCGACACAAAGCCCTCATGCTCCTCAACGATCGGGAGTCCTACAAAGTCAGCGAAGTCGCCAGTCTAAAGTCCCTAGTGGCAAAGGTTAACAGACTTCTGGCTCGACTAAAGAAGGACATCGTCATCACCGTCAAAGACTGGTATATGGAAAAGCCCGCTGAAACCACTATGGCGAGATTCTACGGTCTCCCAAAAGTACACAGGCCAGATTTTCCCCTCCGCCCAATCGTCTCACTCCGAAGCACACCCACATACGGGCTTGCAAGCTAGATATTTCAGAAGCTAAGATTCCTAACTGCAGACTCACAAACAACGGTGCACTCAGCAGAACAATTCCTTGACAAAATAAGGCCAGTCACGATCGAACGCAATGAGAGGATGGTGTCATTTGACGTCGTCTCACTCGCCACGTCCATATCACAGGCCCTTGCGGTCGGAACGCTCAGTGACCTGCTACGTCAAAATTACGACGCGGTGATGGCCAGCCCACAGCTCAGGATCTCATAGAACTCATGGGGCACTGTCTCAAGGCATTCTTTACCTTCGAAGGGATCACATACGAGCAAATCAAGGGCACTTCAATGGGTTCACCAATCTCTGGGCTCTTTGCCGAGGCGGTTCTACAAAACTCGGGAGACGACTATTCGAGGAGTACAAGCCCAAGTTTTGGGCACGCTACGCTGATGACACCTTTGCAATCATCGACCGGGATAAAATCAACTACTATGCGGAACTACTGAACTCAATCATTCCCGATCTACAGTTAACGATGTAAGAGGAAGTAGGGGACAAACTTCCATTCTTGGATGTTCTCGTCTGCCGCCAACCATACGGCAAACTAGCGACGTCGGTCTACAGAAAACCGACGAACACGCTGCAAATTCTCAGCTACAACAGCAACCATCCGCCACAACACAAACGAAGCTGTGTCCGCACGCTGTACCGACGGGTGGAAACTCATTGCAGCACGCCAGCCGCCAAACTGGATGAGATAAAGCTCATCCGAGAACTTTTCAGAGCCAACAGCTACCCGCGGGCATTCATTGAACGGAGCCGAAGGAAGCCAAAGAAACGGAATGAAGACCATAGTCAGTCAAACTCGTGACGGAGCATTCCGTGCATTAAAGGGGTCTCCGAAGCCGTGGCTAGATCCCTCGCGCCACTCCGAAAAGGTGTTGCCCACAGGCCTGACTCACCAATCGGCCGGCAGGTGATGCAGCCAAAAGACCCAAGCAGGATACGTCGGTTGTTGTTTACTGACTGCAATGCAGCTGCAGGAAGTGCAACTATGTTGGGGAAACCGGCCGACGGCTGCAAACAGAAATGCACGAGAATAAGTTGACCGTGCGAAAGTTGGACCTAAAGTTGGAGGAAGCAAACCATGCCGCGCAAATGGGACACATCTCCAACTTTGACGCCTTTGGGATTGTGGGCCGGGGTGGTGATCATACAGCAAGGCAAGTGCAAGAAGCCTGGATGTCCATCGACTGCTCTGTCAACCGCCACATCAATTTGCCTCCCCCCTATCTGGTTCTACGGGCATTCTTGACGGGGGGCAGTAACAGCGCGGGACAATCGGAGCGGTCAGTCATTTCCGTGGCCGACGACGGCGATTCAGGTCTCAGTGACATGCGGGTTGGGTGCAGCCACACAGGCGGCATTGGCGGGTCACGCACTGAACAAAGTGCACCATAAAAGGGGAGCTGTGCGCAGGACTTTCAAGTCTCTGAAGATGAGTAGACGAATCAACTACTCAAAACGTCGGACCTCTAATAAACCCCACCCGGTGAACGCCTCTTCTTCCTTTGATATGCCACAAGGGAATCGCATTTCCACTACTACTGATGCAACCTTAATTGTTGCGTGCGCTGACGCTGCAGAATATTTTTCTATGCTTATTCATGAATAATTTGCAGTTTTCAAAGACGCGGTTACTCTGGTTTCTAATTGGCCAGAGACTAATAGTGCAGTTGCGTGCATTTCATGGTCTGCGCCCAAATAATGTATGAAAACTTTGACATACCTGCTGACCTACTTAAAACTTACGCGGATATTTGGATTGCTTTAGAGTTGGGAAAATTCGCATTTAAGAATTAAAAGGGCAATTTGGCAAGCATACATGAGCTTTCGATAAATTATCTTCAGGCCTGTACATTTATATTGCTAGCAAATGACTAAGAAGAAAATGCGGGCAAGAAGAAGGACCAAATAAAGAACGTCAATAGTTCTATTCTCGCCCACACAGATCACTGTGTGGATGCCGGACAGGCATACCGAATTATTTACGGGGTTCCGTCAAGCTATCCAAAATCAATTGGACAGCGTTGCTGGCAACTGTAGAGGCGGCTACAATCAGGCTATACAAATCATTTCTATGCGCACAAAAGAACTTCGTACAGGCCGCACAGTTACCATGGGACAAAGCCACCATGCCAGCCACCTGCGTATAATTACCCGTCCCAGTGCCCACCGCCCCCTTCTCCGCCCTGACACTGAAGTTAATTTTGTTCGTCACCTCACCCAACCCCCTTCCCCCAAACCCCAGCTACAGAATAAGTGCTGTTTGCCCACATCTCATTATTAATTATTTCGATAGCAATATAAATGTACAGGCCTAAGGAGATAGGCAGAACGGCATTACTGACAAAGACGAGGGAGACTGGAATGGCCATTTCTGGCTTATTAGCCGTAGTCAGCCAGTCATACCCAACCCCGAAGTGTGGCACACACGAGACTCGAACTTGCGACCTGTTTGTTAGAAGTCCACGCCTCTAACCACTGGGCCACGAGCCCGTTCATGCATAAGGTGCTGCAGTATTCATAGGATGCAGTAGCCATGCTATCGCATATCGAGGCAATGGGGCCTTGAATAAGGGCCCCAGACATGGTCATAATGGCTGTCAGCAACATACTAATTATTGACAAAGGACGCCCACCGATCGTGTTGCAGAACCTACTCGCCCCGTTGTGGCGTGGTGCAGGATCTAGAACCCCGTAGGCAGTCACACAACGGCTATGAATTTGTGGTGGATGAGATAACCGACAAAGACAAAGGAGGCTGGAATAGCCCGGCATGGTCGTGTCATCTTTCGCATAAAATTAACGGCCTGCAGAAAATGCCAGGTTAGAAAGACATTCACTCATTCACAACGGGCGTCAAGTTTTGTGCTTGGAGCCCCAGTCCACGTCAACCCCACGAGAATACTCGTAAGAGTGCATACTTAGTCTGCAATAAGTTTGGCGTAGATGGGCCCCTGGATATGACGAAATGTCGTTTTTCAGCCCCAAAAAGGGCTATTTAGACATTCTGTCAGGATAATGACTAAACGGGCAGGTTGTGAACAACCAGTCCCAATGAATACGCCGAATATTGCTCATCGCCGTTGTCGTCGTCGCCGCCGCCGCCGCCGCCGCCGACATCACCATTATCATCATCATCATCATCATCATCATCATCATCATCATCATCATCATCATCATCATCATCATCATCATCATCATCATCATCATCATCATCATCATCATCATCATCATCATCATCATCATCATCATCATCATCATCATCATCATCATCATCATCATCATCACCGGCACACATACAAAACCGTCAGTTCACTAGGGAAACAACCAAAAACAATCTGACTGGATGGACGGGAGGGGACTTGTCTACTTCCAAGTTTCTGCTCTGTCCCGCCATGAGCTCCGGACAGCATAGGGGACGCTCATTAATTTAAGTAGCATATCCACCCAGCTTGCATATTAAGGCCAATTTCGGGGCTGGCGTCTCCTATGCTATTATTATTTCCGTCAAAAGGGAGTCCTTTGTCTAGGTCACTTCTACGGTGTTTCCTAACGACTGAATAGACTTAAACTGAACCAGTGTCTTCACATGAACCAATGAAGCATAAGAAGAGGCACGATTTCGCGCATGAACATACAGTCGCTTCAGCTCGATAAACATTTTCCGATCCAATACGACAATGAGTTTTGACTTTCTTTTGAAGCATTCCCTTCCCGCCAGGGCTCTCGACGGGAGCTTCGTCCAACTCTTAAGTGCAGATCGTGTTTTACGCGCCGAGGCGCCTATTCGTGTCCAGCTGCTGGACCGTGAGATTACGTGAGCCAACTTGGCGTCCGCTCCCCCCCCCCTCCCCGCGAAGTCTCGAAGATGACCGATGGGACCAGAAACAAGACAGGCTACTACGTGACTGGAGCTCTGTTTTTTTTTGATGAGAGCTCAAGCAGTTCGTGTATAAATGCCCCGCCCACAGACCTTGGCCTATACAGCCTTGTTCGGAGTTGTGAAACCACACGCTGATTGGCTGTACGGTCGCATAAAAACCGGGCGTTTTGTTGCTGCCTAATTAACCCAGAGAATGGAGACGGGCGATAAAACGCGTGGTCGCGGTACCTCGCCTGTCTCCTGCTTCTGAACTAAAATGACCTTATAGGCTTTCTAATGCTTCTTCAGGGAGCGTAAAGTAAGAACGATGTTTGGATGTGAGAACATAAAAACCGGGCCTTGGTTGAACATCGGGCATGCAGCAGCGGCAGAATAAACCTTCCCTTAACCAATAGGAACAGGGAAGAAGGAAATTTGCATCTCGCATTACGGAAGAGCTTTTAACCATGGCAAATGTACTGTGCCGGTGGAAAACTATGGCACAAATCAAAGGGGTTGCCACCCACAAGCGCCCAGGTTTCTGGGTCCACAGATGGCTGAGGAATACGCTGCTAAAAGTTGCGGATTTTACTCAACAGCAGTCCTCTTCGGATTCACCTCGGTAGAGACCTTGCAAATCGATAACCGGTGGTAGTTAGGTCGTCGCTAACGCCGATGTTCGCTGTGTGCCCCACAGGATGGCGACTTGTGTGAGAATTAATTTACAATGATGGCGGACGTGCGCAGCATCTACCTCACACACGCCTGGGATCCTGTGCCGCTCGGGCACAGCGTTTGACAAGGCTAAACATCCCGCCTACGCGCCGCCTGGTCATAAAAAAGTTCCAGGTTCTCACAGGAACAAGGCAGACGGCTCGGATCCGCTCTAAGTGAGTGCCGTAGAGGCCACATTACGAAGGAGTCATTGATAACTGATGCTGTCAAGACCCAGCGAGACTGGAATGGCCGCTTCTACTTTCCTAACCGCCAACTGACCTGCTAACTCGCAGACAACCATGGCGCCATGGCAGTGGTGCCCCACTGGGCCAAGTAAAACGCCACCACTTTGGTATTAGTTGTCACCAGCCGGCCAACATTCGGGAGGGGGGAGGGTCACGTTGTTCGAATGACCACACGACGTGGCGTGCGGATAAACGGTTGGGCTGGCGCGTCTGGCAGATGCACGCACAGCGGAGCAGCCAATTGCGGGCGCTCACCCCGAGTCGGACGGACTCGTTTACTGACACAGGATTGGTCATTTACGTCGGGCTTGCGTCATTGCTCGAGGCAACAACTCGGGCTTCTCCAGGGCGGAACACCCCGGCTGGCTTGTTCCACCCACTGTCCTTGCCACCACCCCCCCCCCTCTGTCAGTCAGCACGAACAACCCCCCTCTTCGCGACGAAAAGATCATGGACCGCGGGGGAGACACGGTCGCTGGAACAGGAGGTTTATTAGCCCGACGCTTCGGATTTTCACTCGAATCCATCATCAGAGACAGAGTCAGAAAAGGGTAATGGATTGCCCAGGCGTTGCAGTATTTATAGGATGTAGTTGCTAGGCCGCTACATGCCTGACACAATTGGCAGCTCCCGAGTGCATCACAGTTCGACTGCCCAGGTGTTGAAGTATGCCGTTGCCCTGCAGTTGCTATGCGCCTATGTGCCGGTCAAGGTTATTGGGCCGCACGCTCATTGAGTTGCTGACACCTGCTTACTGCAACAGCTGGTCAGTTGAGCCGTGATGCATTCGGAGGCTGCCAACTGTGGTAGGCATGTAAATTAATCACCACACAAGTCGCCATCCTGTGGGGCACACAGCGAACATCGGCGTTAGAGATGGCCGAACTGCCACCGGTTATCGGTTCGCAAGGTCTTTAGTGAAGCGAATACGAAGATGACTACTGTTGAGTAAAATCTGCAACTTAGCGACACATTCCTCAGACACCTGTGGACCAGAAACCTGGGCGCTTGAGGGTGGCAGCCCCTCGTCGTGTCAAAATTGCCGGAAAAAATTAAAATCCTAGCACCTGAGCGTGCCTGGAAGACCTCAAGTGAAGAATTGGCTCGCGACTGGATACATGATACGCCGGTTGATTGTAATAGAGGACAGAAGCAGTAGAAGACGTTTGCAGTTCTAGTACGTGCCCAGATTGCCTAGCGGAACGAAGACCTCCACAGCGATTTAAACCAACAGTAGCAATCTATTTTACCCACAATACGGATAGCCAACGAGAATGCTAATTCAAAAACGAATAATAAACACATCGACTTAGACAAGGAATCATTTCTTTTCCACCCAAGACTTGAGAAAACCAAACCTTGCCGAATTTTATGCGCACACAGTTGAATTCGGATAGGCCAACAAAATTCTGCCTGGGGAGCGCAAAGCCTACTTCTCTTCTCAGGCAAGGAGCTGGATAAGCCCATCCTCCACCGCTGCAGCTTTACGTATCCGCTGAATTCACCTCTACATAATGAGCCCAAAACACTGTTGTGCATAATATTATTACCGACAAAGACAAGGGAGGCTGGAATGGCCATTTCTGGCTTATTAGCCGTCGTCAGCCAGTCTTACCCAAACCCGAAGTGTGGAACACCCGGGGCTCGAACTCGCGACCTGTTAGTTAGAAGTCCACGCCTCTAACCACTGGGCCACGAGTCCGTTGTCCTGTCGGTTTTCGATCGGGGATATACAATGGTAGGGGGCGCTCACCGACCGTTCGTACAGAACTCACTTGTTCCGTTGTGTCTTACGGGTTCTCTCGAGCCCAGCCAGCAGCCGCACAGCGGCACATGATACATAGACAGTATGTTATTACCGACAAAGACAAGGGAGACTGGGATGGCCATTTCTGGCTTATTAGCCGTTGTCAGCCAGTCATACCCAGCACCGAGGTGTGGAATACCTGTGGCTCGACCCCGCGACCCGTTAATCAGAAGTCCAACGCCCCCTCTACCACTGTTGTGCATCTACATCTTCCGACGACTGGCCGTGTGGCTAGACAGGAACTGACGAGCGTGACAGCCGGAATCGCAAGTTGATGATTCATGGACACAGGCATGATTGGCTCGTCGCGGCTGCTAAAGATAATAAGCAGACCCTTGCCTGCACGACCTTCGGACCAGGCGCAGGTCAGCAGAGGGAGCATTGTATTCCGCACAGAATAAACGGGGCATAGGTTGGATTAAGCTGGAAGCCAGAGGAGGGCACACGCCCGGCACCGCAAGAGTAGGCGTCAGAGAGCCTCGAGCGGGGACATTTTTGACCTGGACTTGGAGTTGATTGGCCGGTTTGGGTTGCTGTGATTGACCGGGAACCGAACTGCCACTGGCACGCGCGAGAGGCACAGCGTTGCAGCAGGCGCCCGGAGTGGGGTCTGTGCAGATCCTACCTTTCCGGGATGAGTTCGAGTGAAAAACACGTGGGGCAGACAACTAATAAACAACGTGAAGGGTTTTGGGCTTCATTCCGCTCCCCTTAGAGAGTAGCGGAGGCTTTCTCGCTGTCGGTGAGGACAAGGCAGGCTAAGACGGTCATTCGTGAATTGACTACTGTCATCGGACAGCCGGCATTCCATCGTGAAAAGCCTGACGGTTCAACGAACGTCAGTCGCACCGCTCGCCGGTCAGTTCACCAATTACAACAATGCTATTGAAGCGAAGTTGAGCGTATGCTTATAATAGCACTTTGACTATTGATATTTCTACAGTTGAGGGCAGGAGGTATTGTCCATGACCCCTCGAATATACCGACTTCTCGATCTACCAATAGTTGACTTGTGGAAACCAGGAAATGCATACAGCCGCTTCAAGGATCCAGCAAAATAGAACGGACGGCAGAATGCATCCCTTCCGACCATCACCAAACCCAAAAAGACTCCGGCCGCGGGCATCCGAACGTCCACAACATAAGAAGACATACGACCAAAAACACGACCCAGACGAAGCTATGCGGAAGATATTATAACAAAAAAATCAGTGAAGACAGAGGAAGAAGAAGGGGGTTATTGCTTTGATTTGGTTTCGGATGTGCATATAGAAGTATGACAAACCCAACTCCGCCAGTCAAAAGAGGACCCAAATCAATCGGCCGAAGTCAACTTGAAACACAGCCCTAGTCCCGCTCCAGCCCTCGCACCCAAGGAAAACGGTCAATCGTATGGCCCTCGGAAGCACAGAAAATGGAAGAGAGGGTCAG